TAGCCATGGGTAATTTTTCAGAAGGAAAACTGCCAAGAGATGAGATTTAGCCTAAGGAACAAAAGTAAGCTATGAGGGTGATACGTGGCAATCCACAGGACTAATTTAAATGTACCACCAGCTGAGGCAGATAGAGTGTAGACGGTTGTTCTATAAAAAAATCTTAAAACATTAGTCAACCTAGTGACGTAAGAGTGAAAAAGATAAAGACCATGGTGTATGCCATTTCATAATCAAGTTGTTAAAGCAGAGTATGTTTTTAATTCTCTCAATTATACTCAGAGGAATTCAAATTTTATTTCTCAGAGGAACTGAAGATTCAGAATATTAAGTTACTCCAGAGACATCACACCCCACTGCTGATTAAATACCTGCTACATGAATGTTTCCCAAGAACTTTAGATAGTAAAAGCTTGGGTGTAGAGCCAAGCCAACTGTGTTCAGGTTTCACCTCTAACCACTTAACATCTGCTCGCATTATGTAACTTTTCCATGTCTCAGTTTCCTCATCTACAAGAGGAGGATAAAAAGAGGGATTTTAAGAAAAATTTAATGAATACAAAGGTATGACACTTAGCAACTTGCAGTCATAAGTTCCACATCAGTGTTGGATAGTAGACTTTGCAGCCAGCATTCCCATGAGCCAGGACAAATAGTCTTCTCCCTGAAACTCAATTTAGCCATTTCTTCATTTTTCATACATTTGTAATCCTTCCTCTTCTCCACCTCCAACCAAGCCTTCCCAATTTAAAACAATCCTCCTGGGACAGGTGAGCTTTGAAATGAAAATGGGAATGAACTTGCAGGGTTTTCTCAGCAAGGTTGCCCAAACTTTAAGGTAAGAAGTAGCAGGAGGCGTGATTCCCTCACAGGAGCACCTGCTACCTAGAGCACAGTGAGAATGGGTGCCCTGTGGAGCTGATCAATATGCAGGCCCGGGTTCTTATTAAGTGTACACATTACCAGACCTCTTCTCCTGAAAATTGATTCAGGTGGTCAGGGTTGAAACCCAGGAATCTATACATTGAATGAGCATTCTAGGCAATTCTTCAGGGAAGTTTGAAAAATTGGAGTAGTAGAGGTAGAATATAGAAAGTTTTGGGTGACAGAATGGGTAAAGACAAAATTAGGGGCTGAACTCGAGGAAAAGTGGAAAAACTCAAGCAAAGATGATCTTGAGTAAATTCGTAACAAATGGTCCAGTAAGAGGAACAGGTAAGGAAAGACTCAAATACCAAGAGTAAGACATGGCCACTGTAGAGCAGTTTCTCTTTCAGGATGAGGTTTAAAGTCAACTCTTAGAAGGCATCTAGAAACTGGAAGTACCCTTTCTTGGACACTTTATCAGGTTTCCATGGTGGCATTGTCCAAAACCTAAGTAGCTAGGTTGCCCTGGAGGCAAGCATGATGGTCAAATAGAAGTTGCAAAAATAGAAACCAAAGTTGGAAGAAATTCAGTGATTCAACTCCCTTGAATCCCTTCCTTGAATCCACTTCTTTGAGTCTCTTGAATCCCTCTGCCTTGGCGACCTATCACTGCTTCTCAGCTGTGGCCATCTATTAGAGTCACCTACAGAGCATTTTCCGAACTACTTTTCAGACCCTACCCCAGGATCAATTAAAGCAGAACCCTCAGAAGTGGGCCCTATCACTGGCACTCTTACCATTCAACTCCACAAGTAGTTTTCAAATGAAGAACATTAGCACATTAGAATCACTTGGAAGTATTTAAAAACTGCTGATGCCCGAGACCCAGTTTCGGGGGTTACCATTTAACTGGTCTTAAGTGTAGCTTGGTAACCAGAAATGTTTAGAAGTCCAACAGTTATTTACAATGTGCAGTCAAGGTTGAGAATGACTCAGTCACACTTGCTTTTTTTTTTAATCAACAACTAAAGAACAGACCAGTTTGTGGAAAATCAGGTGCATTTTGAAGTTTAAATCCATGGGTCTGGGTTGAGAGAAAACAGCACAACAGTAGGGTTTGCATAAGGAGACAGACCCTGGTACCAGCCTTCTTTCTTCCCTGAGAGGTAGCCCACTGTTCAGAATATACCTGCATTGTTCTGATCTTTTAATTTTTCCTTAAGTTGTTTGGATATAGCAGAGACATTTGTCTCTGTGATCATATGTGACTACTTGATTGTCAACTTCTAGAAGTCGAAGGTCTCCCTGGGTTTAAGAATAGTGGAGGTAATATATAAGAGTTAAAGATTAAGCCTCCGTAATCTGTGTACTTGTAGGTTCAGTATCATTGGTGTCCGATTGACTTAATAGTAAAGGAGGGGTTATTGATTTCGTCTGTTAGATACAGGATGTGCAGGGATGGAAGGGCGATCAGGACTAGGATGATTGCGGGTAAGATAGTTCAGATGGTTTCTATCTCCTGGGCATCATAGATGATCCATTTATGGGCCCTCTAAGTCAATAATTTCTTAATGTTCAAGGTGAAACAGCTCTATATAAAACGGCGTATCATGGTGGATATAAACACCAACATGCAATCTCCACTTAGAACTCTACCAGAGTTTTTCTGTTGTCCTGACAATGTAAGCCACCCCAAAGCCAATCTGTGATTTTACAGACATTTCCTGTTAATTGCACTTGTCAATTGATGAAAGCATAGTTCAGGGGAAGTGGTGATCATACAGATTGAATTCATGGAATTAACGAACTCTATATAGAAAGGCACTTTTCTGACGCCTTATGGTGACCTTTCTGGGATGTAATGTGATTATGTGGATTAAAAAATAAAATAGTACAGAATGGATACATCCAAAAAATACTTAACTGGTAGCCATTAACTCCTTTTGGCATTACTGCAGAGTCCATGGCACGTTCTTTTAAATGTCACTATTATTGAGAACTCTGTGCCTTGAAATATATGCAAATTCATAGTCAAAAGTAATCTAAGCCAAGTCTTTTGAAGAGGGCAAGTTGTCAAAAGGGAGTAGTCCCTTTAGTTCTGAAACTTAGGGATCAAAAAGACCATGGGTAAAACAATAAGTAAAAATCAATACACATAGGTTTTCAAAAAATTGGGGGAGAGAAAGAATGAAGGTAAAATGAAAGGAGGGAAAGAACGAAGGGAAAGAAAAAATAGGAAAGGAGAAAAGGAAGGAGAAAAGGAAGGAGAAAAGGAAGGAAAGGGTAGGAGAGGAAGAAAGGAGAAAGGAGAAAGGAGGAAGGAAAAAGGGTAGCTTAAGTGCATAGTATCAAAAAGAATGTTTTCAAGGACACAATCTTACAGTAAATTCTGAAACAATTTAAAAAACCAAGCCTAGTTTCTTACAGGGCTGTTTCTAATCATACTGGCAGGTTGCACTTTAAAAGTTCCGTTTGTTCAATCAGTTTTACATATATTTTGTCTCCAAGTGGCTTTCCTCATGTCTAGCACACTGGACAGTTCCTTAGGGAAAATTGCAGAAAGGGAACCCAAGCTAGCAATCTCATCTAGGATTAGGGAATAGAAATTGGGTAGAGCTGCCCCACCCTCCTGCCACAGATATGTGAATGCCTAGTGCGAAGACCTTGCCCCTTTGGATAAACCAGGTCGCCATTCTTGCTTATGGTAGCATTCTTCTTGTGAGCATTCGGTAAATAGAGGTTATTCTAAGTGCTTGTTTTGTGCACCCCAGAATACCATACCTGTAGTTAGGAATTCCCGTGTTATTACCCCTTGTATAAGCCAAAGGTGAGTAAATCAAATATTCAACAAAAATCTCCTTTGTTTTCAGGGATATTAAATTTTATTGCTCCTCAAAACATAGGAAATCCAGGGCCAGATATTCACAGGGTTCAAAAAGCCTAACAAAAAGATAGTCCAAAATCTTATGATGTTAACTTTTGTCTTAAGCGATAAACTTAGTTGTGACTTGTTATGTAGAAGTACTAAAAATGCTATTCTCAAAGCATGTATAATTTGTTTATATTTTTTTGGTGTAGAAATGATTAGAGTTTAACTGAATGTGAAATTCTAGGGAATATTCAAATGGCAGCTCTATATTCCACGGTGTACCTTTTGCAACAGTAAAACTTTCTTAAGATGTTTTAAGAAATGTTCAATCACTAGATACCTTTTGAAGCACTGAAACATTTGAAAAGCAACCAATCACTCTAAGAAAAAAAAAATGCATTTATCTTGGTTCTTGATGATCCATAGGCATGGTAAAGATGTAACCAGTGAAAACCCAGAGCTCCTGTACTGCTGCTGTTGAGGCATTTAAGAACCTAGGCATCCTCATTGTGCCATTTTTATAATTTGCCTGACACAGATGATCTTATTTCTAGAGGAATAAGTAGTACCCCTGAATTAGAACACATTGCATTGTGGAAATGTCACAGTTGGAAACATCTTAAGATAGTTTTATCATCTTTCTGGATTTACTAAAAGTAAAATAGCATTTTGTATTTTCATTCTTTTTAATACTGCATCATTAAAAATAATTTGGACAGATAGGGTTTATTTCAATTGAGTTATCTTAACTTTATGTAGCTAGCCTGGTTTGATGAGGAAATTATTACCCATAACACATCACCATATAAAATTGTCTTCTGAAATGACAGCACTTTTTCTTAAATTTTTTTAATGTAAGTCTGAAATTTTATAATTTTTTTAGCTAGTTGTAGTATACTATATTTCCTAATCAGTAGTCTCATTTTAAAAAGTAATCTCTTTAGCATAGAAATTCATATAAGCACAATTTGAAATGCTTTAGCGCCTTAGAAACATACTCTGGCATGTTTTGGTAACACATAGTATTAATATTTGGTGCAACAGCTTGTACTTAGTCCATATTCTGACATTACCATGACTTTAAGAGGTCCCCGCATGCTTATTTCATGATCTTTCTAAACTGAGGTACATCAGCACATTTCCTCGCAACATCCATTCACAAGCAGCACCCTTCCCTCCCCTCATCTGTACACATCAAACCAATTGGCAGAGAGCACATTTCCCCCTGAGCGAGCAGTATTGTGAATTTTATCTTCTCTTCCAGAAATCAGTTCGTCTTCGTTGCAGCAGATGAAATTTCTTGTAACACCTCTGCAGGTAACAAACATTGCTACTTCTTGATGCATCCATCCAAGTCTCAGTATCCTTTTTTTTTTTTTTCCTTCTTCACATGCTGCAGTTGGTCACTCTAGAAAGTTTAAAAAAAAGTTCTTGTATCTTTGGAGTACAGCTGAAACCTTGAGGCTCTGCCATGTAAGACATTAGGCATTTTGCTAACTTTGATGTTTTATTTCTGGTTTTAATAATACATGGTCCAGGAAAGTAAGATGATGTTGAATGAATCCACAAGAAAATCTAACAGTATAATAATCAGTGCTCTTATGGTGAAATACGGAACAGGGAGATTAGGTACACAGACGTATGACTTCCATGTTTTTTGACGTATTATGTCTGGGTTAACAGATTGATATGTGAATTATTTGGGATCTTTATGGAATATTAGAGGCTGTAAAAGACTGAATCTATGAAGCTAGAGGCATTCGAGAATATAATTATCTCTGTCTTATAAGAAGGGGATCTTCATTCTATTAGCCAAAGATCCCCTATTTCCTTTCTTGTAAAACATCTCTCAAGTAGCAGAACTTAGACCAAGTCTTTTGGTTTTGAAACCAGGACATTGGCAAATGGAAATTGCATAGCTGCATGATATATCTGTCAAAATAACACCTGTCTTTTTTCTTTCACGTGGTTCAGAACAGTTAAATTTGTACTTTCATTAGTGTGGAATTACATGCCAAGATAGGTGAGTGCCTTAACACTAGATTTATTTTTCCTTTTTTTGTTTTTTTAAGCCTAACCTATGACCAAAACAATCACTACGAAGTCTTGCCAATGCAGTGCTTTCAGCCTGCGACGGAGGACGTTACAACTTATCACTACATAACTGAGCATCCCATGACTTTCAGGACACATACATTAAACTAAATCTTACAAATAAACACTCATCTGTTACCTCTTATCAATGGTGCAGTAAAGAAAGGCTTATATACCAATGTTTCACTCCCTATTTACCGCCTTTGGTGAGAATAAATGAATGAAAGGAAGCACAGAGAGCTAGGAACATGCACCCAACCATCTCTGTTCTAAAAGGCAGGGTCAGTTTTATTGATATGGTCAGCCTCAGCCTTTATAACGGGTTTAAAGTCTTACCCGGTGAGTTCAAGAGGTATGCATGATGCATGCTGACATTTTAAAGCAATGGTATACTCTATTTCTATAAAACCCCTTTGATGGGTCCTGCAATTTCCCTCTTAACCCCTAAAATTCATGTCTCTGCTTCTCACTGTGAGAGGTGGCGACATCCTTAACACTTGACTAATGCCCAATGCTAGATTCAATGGTTAATTGAATTGCTGGGAGTGGCAGGGGAATGTTCCCGCAATACAACAGTTGTTTAACATTTTCAGAGCCTTAGTGGAATGGAGCATGCAATGAAAAGGGAGATTGCTTGGAATGGGAGGTAGGGGTGGGGAATAATGTTAATTTAAAATGTACATAGGCATCATGTGTAGATGCCTCATGCACTAGAGCTTCTGCCTTCTGTTAACCCATGTGCATGTTCCAGGTTCCAGTATGTTAGGTTATATTTGGACATCTTAGATCAAACGTGAAAAAGATATTGATTTTGCCCCGTGACTTAACAAACCCTGCCTTGTAAGCAAGTGATCCACACACAGTATCTCTAAAAAAGGCAACAGAAAATGAAAGTTTGCCTGAGTGTGGTGTTTCCATCTACCTAATCTAGATGGCTGCTCAGTAAATTCTTAATGAATTGCGATTGATCGCATTTCAGATTGAGAGAGATATCCCTGTTCCTTTGATGGCCATTTTAATAATGTTTATGCTTCATAAGGTTCCATTTGAACTCTGAATTTTGAATGAAGCGTGAAAAAGGAGACACCCCTATCAATCAAATGTCAGATTATCTCCCAGCAAGTTCACTCTCCTCATAGAGCAAAAATGAAAAATCATAACGGCTCAGTCAACAAAAGGTTGTAACTTGTGGTTTCAGTGAAAGCCTTCTAGGGCATCTCCTACACGCTGAAAAAAACCTGCTTTGGGAGGCTGAGCTGGGTGGATCATGAGGGTCAGGAGTTCAAGACCAGTCTGGCCAACACAGTGAAACGCCATCTCTACTAAAAATACAGAAATTAGCCGGGTGTGGTGGGGTGTGCCTGTAATCCCAGCTACTCAGGAGGCTGAGGCAGAGAATTGCTTGAACTGGAGAGGCAGAAGGTTGCAGTGGAAAGAGATCGTGCCACTGCACTCCAGCCTGGGCGACAGAGCAAGCCTGTCTAAAAAATAAATTAAATAAAATTTTTAAAAATGGCTGTGCCCATTACCCACATTCTAAACAGCACTACTGTAAATGAGGTCTCACCTCCTTATAAAAACATTTACTAGGGCAGGTTTATTGAATCCTGCTATCTACTGGTTATCAGAGTTTGACAAAAGGCAAGTTCTCTTTTTAAATGGAGAACAAAAAATCAACATGCTTAACATTTCAGTGTGGGGCTTGATGGATGTTGTAACTGAAATTCGTATAAAGAGGTGTTATTGTCACATTGATACCCATGGTGGATGGGCTAAGCACAGGCAGTTGTCTGGGGCTTAGGGTGGAGATCATGAGATGAAAATCATTAAGGAGTAGAACAGCAGCATTTCAGGATTTTTTTTCTCCCAGTTTTCCAAATAGTGATACCTTTTACATGGGTCTTTTGTTGAGTGCGCCAACATGTCTGGTCTGCTTTTTGTAGCTACATAGAATAGTCATTTTTCATTAACATTTGTGATCTATGAGATCATCTTTACAAGGATATTTTCTGACCCAAGGGTTTCAACAATGGTATTTGTTTTGTTTTGGTTGATCCGAAAGAATGTGTGCTCTGTTGGGTATCACTTGGGACTAGGCTTTTAACAGGGTAGGACACCTCCTAATGCATCCAGCTTGCACACTTGAGTAGTTTCTCATTCCGTAGTGTCAAGAACTTTTGATGAGTTGGATTCTGCCAGAGATGGCAAAAAGGGGGAAAATGATTTTCCCTTCTTAGACAGGAGGTCTCCCCTCTGTGATTCATTAGGACTTTGCCAGGGTGGGCTAGTGATGTAGTAGTTGCAGAAGAAGGATCTGGTATGGGAACAGAGGCTGAAAAACAGGTTACTTGTTTTGATCAATGACTAGAAATTCATTTTAGTTCATTAATATCTTCAGTCATTGCTGGGTGTCAGGAACTGTTCCAAAGCCCTGGGGACATAGCATTGAGTGAGTCAGAAGCCCTCATCAAAAGACCTTCATTGTATTGGAGAACAGATCCCAAATCATGTATATGAATAAGCAGGTAATACAGATGCATAGTAAGTTGTGAACTTACTGTAATGAATCAAAAAGCAGGGGAGGAGATGGAAAGTAAGGTGCAATGCTATTTCAGACTCAGTGATCAGAGAAGGCCTATCTGAGGGGGTAACATTTGAGCAGGGATCTAAATAAAGCGAAGGTGTGACCCATGAAACATATAGCAGGTGCAAAGACCCTGTGGTTGAGGCATGCTTGAGGTGTCCAGGAGTAAGACCATCCAGTATGGCCCACGGACGAGTACAGGTGAGTTTTATACATAACATCTAGGAGGTAGCCAGGGTCAGAGCAAGTTAGGACTTGGAGACCACAGAAAATTTTGGGGATTCTAAGAGTGATATGGAGGCCCTGGAGGGAGGGTTGTAATCTGACTTTAAAGATCAGATAGACTTTAGATCAGATCAGGAGACCACAAAGTGCAAAAAGAAGAAATAGCACTGAGAGGGGATGGGGGAGGCCCTTACAGCTGTCCAGAGAGGGGTGACAATGGCTTGGGTTAGTGGGGTGGCTGTGGGTGAGAAGTGGTCATCTTTAAGCTGTGTTTTGATGGGACAACAAACAGGACACGCTGGCAGATTAAAAGTCTACGAGGTCGAGTCTGTTAAATGTCCATTCCCCCACTCTTGTTCTAAAGGTCTATCAGTTAATTCCATGGAGCACCAATGCTTTAATCCCCGAGGAAAGCAAACCCTTTATCCCTGCAGTAATAGTCCCTTGTAGGGGCTTTGCTGAATTCTCCAGGGGGTGATCGTAACTTACCGTCATTTATTGAGCAAATTATGTGTGCTAGTATGATATAGATACATGCATGGATATGTATAATGCATGTATATGTATATATATATACACATATACATGCATGTATAGTTTATCACGGCAGCTCAACGAGCTGTCATGCCCATTTTGGAAAGTGAAAAACAACATACTCAGGGTTCAGAAACATTTAGTAGCTTGCCCACAGTCACACAGGAGTCCATCTAATGCCAAAACCCTTCCTCAGGGTCACACTGCGTCCACACAGTCCTTTTTCTTTGCCCTTGGAACTTTTGACCTTCTGACTCCAGATGGAATTCCACCTTCCCCAGTATGCTATCTTGCTCTTATAAAACTAGTATTTGTGAGTTGGATGACAAAGTTGTTACTATTTGGAAGAGTCCAAAGGGCACTGAATGGTTCTCTAGTGGTTGTTCCACTGGAAGTTTATTTAACTTGGCTTGTTCCCTTCAGGCAGCAGGCATATGTTTAGTTGTGTGTGCTGGGAGTACTGGTGTAGTTGTGGGGATAGAGGTAGCAGATGTCAGGTCAGGAAGCATGTTGTGTATTAAGGGAAGACAGAGTTAAACAGGCCAAGTGTGTTCTAGGTTAATTCACCAGACGTCTTTTTGCTGAAAGTTAGTGGCTGAAAATCAATTAACAATATTCTAGTCCCTGAAAACCACCAGACAGGTTGAAATAGTTGTTTTAGACAGAGTCCAAGTGGAAAGCTCCCAGCTATCCCCTACCCAAATGCCCAAAGGGTGTGTGAGGGAGTGTGTGTGTGTGTGTGCACGTGTGTGTATGTATAAAGGGGGTCGGTGGAAGCTGGGACTCGCTAGTAGGAAGATATGCCCCCTCCACCATGCCAGGACCCACCACCACGCATTCTCTTAGCAAATCTGGGGACACATTTCCATCTCAGTTCCTG